ATGCCAGAACTGCCAGTGCGGTCTGTGAATTCTAATTGGTCTCAACTACAGAAGTGTGTGGGACCGTTATTTAATCCCACTCACAAAGTTATTACTTTTGTTTGTACCTGCCAGTGATATTTTTTAATGAATGCAGTTGCTTCTACTGTATTTCCCAAAACATAAACAAACTAGTAGCTTGATGTTTTTTTGTTGTTTTTGTTGTTTTTTTTAGTCTGTGTCCCATTGGATCCTTTCTGGGGCACTTTTTTTTGGGAAAAAAAAAATCCAAATAATTTATGTGTACATATGTATATATGTATGTATGTTTACATTAACTGTGTATACATGACAATTGGAATCTTCAGTAATTAGCATGCAAGTTAGTTAACTAGTATATTATTTATTAAAAATAAGCTCTCATGGTCTCGTTTTGGGGTAGACCCCTAGTAGCGCTCACCTGCAGTGGAGAGCAGGAGGAAGATGATGGCCAGGGTGTTGGAGGACCAGTGGCCTCGCATGATCATCTCTCTGTCCTCATGAAGAAAAGAAGGGCGCAGGAGAGAGAAGGAGGTGTGACCTAACACACACGTACGGCTTTCTTTCGTCTGCTCACACTTGCCATGCTGCAAACTGTTAAAAAGAAACAAAGACATACAGTATACTGTATATGTACAGGCAATAACTCGCTCCTGATATGTAGCCTAAAGAGTCCGAAGAAAGGTGAATAATATGATGGAGGAGGTGAAAGATCGCAGAAACAAAAGAGAAGCAATTCAGCAGTTTAAGTATAAACAGAGTTCTACACAACTTCAGCTTTATTTCAACTCCATGTAGTTACAATTACCGCTTGTTTTATATCTGTTATGTTTAAGAACATTCTTGTATGATCATTACCACACTCTGTCTCTCTTAGCTTTAGTCCAGGAATATAGTTTGTAATTTGCTTTCCGCCAACATTTAGCTCAGCTGTGCACTGGCCAAGAAAATAAAGGTACTCCAGCTCAGTCATCCAGGTCATTAAATTGTCTAGTAGCTATAAGTCAAAGGGTCTGAAACTCACTATGACCTCAAAGGATTTTTGCATCTCATCGGAACTACTGAACTCCATCGAATGACAGGCAAAAAGTCTTCAAGATTATACCACAAGATTATACCAGGTGCTTTGACTTACAACTACATGACATCAGGTATATTTTTTCCCCATTATCAGGTTGTTTAGGGAAGCCTTTCTTTAGTTCAAATATTGTCTTCTGTTAGAAAAAAAACAACATTATTCTGTCTACCTGACCAAAATAGGGGTCTATAATTGTTTGACCTTTTCAGACAGCTCACATCTGCAGAGTCTGAGCATTTCCTATTAGTGTTGGCTGTCCTGAGAACGAACCAACCAGCTCACAAAGGCTCCAACTAAAATAAAGAGAGGGTCTAATAGAGGGTCTCACCGCAATGACATGAAAAAGTGTTTCCTATTATATAAAATCATTTATCAGTGATGTTGCTACTATATGCAAATTGATAGATTTCAAATAATTTGTAGGAAAGTGTAAAAGTGTTTAGTTTTTTTTTGTTTTGTTTTTTTTAAAGAAGTGGTTTTATGGAAGTAAAATGATATTTCAGATCAATCACTTCAGTTAATTTAATGACAATTTAATCATATAACTTTTAAAAGTCGTTATGTGTGATCTTACAGTATTTGTTGATCATTGTCTATTTATAATAGACAATTTTTTTCAATAGTGTAAATGCTATGCACTCAAAAAAATAAATAAAAATTAAATAAATTAAAATAATAAAATATATTATATTATAAAATATAATATCTAATATAATATCTATATCTATATATATAATCTTGTTCAGTTTATTTGATTAGAATGAGCTAAAGCAACACAATTTCGGAACATGTGGTCACAACTTAATTTCATTGTGTTCAAGCCACTTCACTTAATTCATTTGTGTTCAAACTACATGAATCATTTTTGTTGACATAACCAACTGGGCAGTGGATCTGTAGTTCCAAGCATGCTTTGCAAGGGACTGCATTAGGAGAGTAAATTTAGGGATTAAGTGTTATTTTATATTTTTTCAGCGACGGGAAAGTCATGTTAGTGTTTAAGGTTCAGTTATGATGGACGTTTGCAGGAGTTTCTGTAATGTTTTTGAATTCTGTGTTTTGTGCTGAAGGTTGGCGCTTGTGCTTAGGCTGTGGACATTCAGTGATCTCTAATAATATCACTACTGACAGCAGTCTTTCCTTAATTGTTCATTATATACATTGTGAAAAATAATTAAACCTCAGTAAGTTAATTAAAAATAAATAAGTTGGGCCTACATAAGAAAATTTAGTTTGACAAATGTTATAGTTATAGTAATTAATTTACTCTAATAAATTAATTAAACATACTAGAGTTAATGAATTTGACCTAAACCAACTAAACTGTGCTGACCCAACTAAACTGATTTATTTTGAATGAACTAAATAAAATTGTGTAATAACGTTCTTCGATTAAATTAAGTAAGAGTAATGAATAAATTTTTTCGAGTGTACAGTACATACTGTTTTTTGTTTTGTTTTGTTTTTTAAAAAGAAGCAATTATCAAGAACTACTGAATGAAATTCTTTATCTGAAATTGTTCAAACAGATTTAAATACGAATATGTCTAAAAATTTGCAAGATTCAATAAAACTTGTTTTTTAAGACACATCTTAAATCCCTGGAGAATGATAAGATTGCGGTGATGCAGTACATTTGACAAACGTTACATAAAAGCCCACCAGGCCGTGAGGCTGACATTTCACCACTGGACGCTTTGATGATTGTACTGTATGCATTCATGGACAAGCAGAGTTTTGGTCTGGTTAAAACAAGCTCTGGGAGCCATAAAACAGGTTGAGGTTTCTCTCCTGTTTAAAGTAACTTGCTGCAATTAAATGGTTAGGCTAGCGGATTTGTTTGCTTGCTAAGTATAGTTACTACTAGATACATAGCTGTTTCAGCTTATCAGCAAGCAAAATTAATTTTCACAGCTTGTTGCTTGTTGCAGTTGATGAAGTCAGTGTCAACACACCTGGGATCTGGATGTTTGCCTTGTACTACCATCTGAACTGTCTATGATTGCTATGTGACAAGGTGCTAACAGTGGCAAGGTATATCTTTAGTATTAGTGTTTGCTTTTCCTTCAGAGCCAGATGGAATAAACATAGTCTGATAAAAGAACGACAACAATCTATTAGATATGTATGTAATTTCCTTCCAAATCCAACTTTGGTTCAGACATGAGAAACTATGAGCTCTGTAAAAGTTCTGTAAATATGAATAAGTAACTTTGAAATATTGTTGAACTAATAAGAATTTCATCAGATGCATTGTCCACATTAACCAGAAAAGCATGTACAAGAAGCAGTCTGGTGTGAAGCCCAAAGTTCTTGCTTACTGCAAATTTTGCAGGCCTGGATGAAGATGAGAGTAGCCGTAGCCATGTAATGACAATATTTAATGAGCGGGAAAAAAATGTTGAGCCTCTTTAGAATTCTCATTTGAGACTTTCAGGGCATTTTGTGTGTGTAAAGTAACAGTAATGATCTGCATCTACTTTATTTAAAATGTATATTAGTGTGAAGTAGGCGAAAGTGTCCATTTTCCTAAAAGATTGTTTACTTTAATACTTACAGTATGTAAATTTTCCTCATGGTACATGATTGTAATTTGCTGGTTTTCATCTGTCACCCCTTCAACCAGTGATGTATATTAAACATCTCAACCGATCTTTTGGATCCACGCTTAATAATGAACAAAATAATGAGCATTGAATAAAATATAGCAGGTCATTTCAAACATTTAAAAGCTAGTGAAAATAAAATAAAACACCAAACACCAAATTTATTTATTTCTAAAACAATTAGCTACAGCGTATATTTTGTTTGGGTCAAAGTGACTTGCTTTAATTTTTATTTTTATTTTTTTTAAAAAGAAGAGATTTTTACATAAAATCCTCATAGACCTTGATTTCATTCCTCAAATAAATTAATAAATAAATAAATAAATAAATAAAAAAATAAATAAATAAATAAATAAATAAATAAAAAAAACAGGTGAAAGGACACAAAAAAGTATCACATTCACAGCTGTGCACACACACCACATATCTTGTGCATTTAAATTTAAACATGACAACTATATTACTATATCATAAATCTACTAACATTAAAAGAAATAAAGAGATACTGCTGGATCAACTGTCCACCCATTGCACTATAAGTAGTGAACATGACAGTTAAAGAGGTTTTAAAGTAAAGTCGAGCTTTAAGTTAACAATGATGAGAGTGGTTTCTCTAAGCTGATATGCTCTGGAAAGCACAGAGACTGTAAACAGAGAACAATGCTTCCAGTCACAACAAAACTCCTACCTATCAGATACATTACTCCCAGACAGTGAGAGAGTGGAGGCAAACATAAAAGATGATTTTCTTTTATGGATCTTTCCCAACACACATACCGTTATTGTTCCATTTCCACCCAGTCAGTTCAAAGAAAAGCTCCCTCTCTGAGGTGAACCATAAAACTCTTACCACGTAATACTTTATACGATTTTGCAAAGATAGATACGTAAATAAATATATAAATATAGTAACAGAGAGTACATCCCTACAGAATTAAGCTTTGTGTCAGAGAGCTGACACAAAGCTGGATCATATTTAGCTAATGTGAGAAAAACTCTGACAACAACAACAACAACAAAAAATGTAATATTAAATTGACATAAAAATGTTTTACAACTGGAGCCTATCCCAGGGAAGTCGAGGAACAATACGGGGGACACCCTGGATGGGGTGCCAAACCCATCGCAGGGTACAATCATCCCCCCACCCATTCATACATTCGCATACTATGGACAATTTGGAAATGCCAATCAGCCTACAAGGCATGATGCATGTCTTTGGACTGGGGGAGGAAACCCGGAGGAAATCTCTGAAGCATGGGGAGAACATGCAAACTCAACACACACACACACACACAGGGCAGAGGTGGAATTTGACCCCCCAACCCTGGAGGTGTAAGCCAAACGTACTAAACACTAAGCCACTGTGCCCCCTTACAAACTTTATTTATATTATCTAAATAGGTTTACATCTTTACAAAAACGTAAAGTATTCAAGGAAGGTAATACAAGAGGAGAAAGTGAACATCTGCCCTAGTGAGAACTGCAAACTCAAACCAGTGAATTTTAAATCATTTTAACCTTCTTGAATTCTTAACACTGTCCTTAACAGCATGCATTTGTGACTTTTCCATATTTAAATTCGTTATTGCAATGGAAGGCAGTTCTGTTTATTTATTTATTTATTTATTTATTTTCTTGATTTTATTGTGCAAAGTGTCTTTTTAAATTGAATTTGCCAATCCCTCCCAACCCTCAAGCTTGCTCAGCTCATCATATGACGACAAACAACCAGGCAGGGTGAAGCCAGCCAGAACCTCAACACATTGAGGCTTGAGGTAGATGGGCTACAACAGCAGACGACCACATTGGGCTTCAGTCCTCAAACAGGAACATGGCTCACAAAACCAGATAGCTTGAAAAACCTCAACTGTCCAGTTTCAAGGCCCACTGTAGATTCTTGTTCTTGACCGACAGGACTGGAAACTGATGTGGTCTTCTGCTGTTCTAGCCCATCCACCTCAATGTTTGACATTTAGTGCATTCTAAGATGCACAAAGAGTGATTATTTGAGTTGGCCATCCTTTCAGCTCCTCCTGATCACTCCCAACAACTAGATAAATGGTAAATGTGCACTTATATAGCGCTTTTATCCAAGCGCTTTACAGTGTGTCTCATTCACCCATTCACACACACACACACACTCACACACCAATGGTAAGAGCCATGCAAGGCGCTAACTTGCCATCGGGAGCAACTTGGGGTTCAGGGTCTTGTCCAAGGACACTTCGGCATGTGGAGTCACCCGTGCCAGGAATCCCACCGACAACCCGCTCTACCAACTGTGCCACAGCTGCCCAGATGTAACTAGATGTTTCCACCAGCAGAACTGCCACTCAGTGGATCATTTTTGTCCCTCACCATTCTGTGTAAACTCAACAGACCGTTGTGTTGACTGTTGTTTTTCTGAAATACCCATACACCAACAACCATGCCACAGTCAATGTCACTGAGATCACATTATTTTCCACATTCTGATGTTTGATGTGAACATTACCTGAACCTCTTGACCTGTATCTGCATTGCGCTTCCATCACATGACTGGCTGATTTGGATAATTAATGTTACGGATGTCCAGATGTTCCTAATAAAGTGGCCAGGCCGATAAGTGTATGAATGATTCCATGGGATTAGCAAGAAAGGAAAAAAAAAAACATGTTTCTATAGGCCCACAAAAAACGTTGAGTAAACGTTTAGTTTTGTACTAAAAAAATGAAAGAATATAATATGGAATACTTCTGCAGTGTGTGAGAGAAGTGGAGCTCGTCGTTTCATGTATGGCGACTTGCGTATTGTAATAAAACTCTTCATATAAATTTGGGATAATTGATGATTGACGATGTAGAAACATCAGACAGGAGACAAGCATGCTTCGGCAGGGATTGATCTACAGTTTGATCTACTAGTAGAAGTAAATAAAATCGTCTGAGCAGATGTCCTCAGATACATGTGGAGCACAAACCCTTGATGGGAAACATCTCAGCGAGAAAAGCAGATGTGTGTTCCTCTATGACAGTGAGTGATTCCACAAGGGACATCTACTGCCTGATGCATGCTGTACGCTTCATGTCACTCTGAGAAGGTGTGTGTGTGTGTGTGTGTGTAACAGAAAGACAGTGTGGCAAAAAGGGAGTGGTATGATGCAATAGTTTTAATGAGTAGTATTCTCACTGCAGCTCAGAGGTTCTTTCGATCTCATTGTCCATTCTTGCGCTCTCTCTCTCTCTCTCTCTCTCTCTCTCTCTCTCTCCCTCTCTCTCTGAGTAAGTGTTCAATCATTTCTTTCTCCATCACTCCTTCCATTAACCCCACACTGTCAGTGGCTCTGTGTTCAGTTTACAGCTACACTAACAACCCTTGCACTCCGAGTTGACTGTCTGTCATAACGCATCACCATGCCAAACCACCCCCATCTTCCTGTTGAAGCTCTCAAAGGAAAGTCATTAGCAGTAATAAACATGAAGAACATAGAAATCCTCGCGCTAATGATCCCATCTCATACTCACACCTACACAGTGGTCAATTGTTGGTCAAATTGTTATATCTCACAAGCACCAAAAAGTAAGAAAAGTGACAGGAGAGTCTGGCAAATTAATCTTTGAAGTTATGCAGCTTTACTAATAAATCAATTAGATTTCATTTGTTGGTCAATTAAAAAAAATAAAAAATATATAAACTCCAAATAAAATAAATAAATAAATAAAGGTCAGTATAAATTGGAGGATCGTAATCATATGAAGAGAAGAGTTCTGGTAGTGTTTATTTCTGCAGCGCTCGTTCTTGGCCTGTTAGTACCTCATGGTCCGCTGTGAATTTGGACATCTGCTGTGTGTCTCGGATGCAAACCAACCCTCTGCTTTTATATGCTAAAAAGAGAAAACACAAACAAATGGCACACAATAATGTCCCACGCACACGAGACCCGCAGCACGCTGTTACCTTGGAAACACACCGAGAGATAAAGAAAGCAAATATTTTATTTTTAACTACAGTGATTATGATCTCTTTTGTGGTGATGAATACAAGACGCTCGAGTTCGAACTCTGGATACGACGGGCCAAATTGGCGTCACATCAGGGGCTAATTTATTTTTTTTAAAACAGTGAACAGCATCTGTAAGTCAGTGTTTTATAGAGGTAAAAAAAAAAAGAAGAAGAAAAAAACAATTCAAAAACAAAATGTCAACCATGCCTCAACCATGAAGCTGATAGTCTTATAGTAGGTGATAATAGGTCATAATAATAGTAATAATAATATTAATAATAATAAGCCTTTATTTGTCACATATGTTACAGCACAGTGAAATTCTTTTCTTTGCATATTCCAGTTTGTTAAGAAGTTGGGGTCAGAGATCATACAGCCCCCCTGGAGTACGGAGGGTTAAGGGCCTTTCTCAAGGGCCCAACAGTGGCAGCTTGACAGTGCTGGGGGCTCAAGCCTTTCTGAACCTTCTGATCAGTAACCCAGAGCTTCAACCTCTGCCGTTATGTTATCCTATCTAATGTGTTGAAGTCTAAATACCTACAAATATTTGATTGTGATTTCATATTTAGGCACGTGGAAAGGTTTACAATCATAATTCATAAAAGTTATGTAGTTCTAAAAGTAAATCCTTGCTACTGGTCCATTGTGGTCAATAGACACTTCTACAGTTCTCTTAAACTCAACCGGCGGGTGAATTAGAAAAAAAATTAAATTAATAAAATAAATAAATAATTCGCTGAAGTGTTGTGGGACTGTTCGAGGGTTAATAAACTATGCAGAATTAAGAATCATTTCCAGAACTGATTCAACAACCTCTGAAAAAATGATGTCTCCTAATCAAAGGCTGAGCAATGTTAAGCCACTCTCTCAATCAGTTTGTTTTACTGATTACGATTATTACGATTACTGTTACTGATGCTACGTGTAGGTTAGCATTTAAACTCCACTGAAGTAATCCTTCCTTATTTAACCTCCGACTAAGACAAAACTATTAAATGTCTTTGGTATCGTGTAGAAGTACAGTGAAAAGCCTGTCTCATTTACTGTACCTATAATACTGGCTCTGTTTAAAATGCACCGTATGTATGAAGATTTAAACGAGTGTCTTTAATTGTTTTTTTTTTAATCCAGTCTTAACAAGTGAAAATATCCAGGATAGGTGGTACAGAAAATGGATGGATGGAAGTGTAAATATCTTTAAAATTGATCTAATAGTTCTAATTATGAGATTATTACTGATTATGGATTATATAAATCAATTGTAAATTTATCCAGCCTTGATTCATTTCAAGCTTTACATTTTCTTATTTTCATGCCAGATAATTTTGCTACTTTCTAGAAATAAATGCATAAAATTCCATAAATGATCTGCCATTTATCTGGCAGTTCTGTGCGTTGAATACAGCATAAACAATTTCTGTATACTTATTACACTTATTTGTGTTTAAAAAAACAAAAAAAAAGGTTCTTTGGTTTGTGCCACTGAGGGAACCCTGTAAGTTTCTATACATAACCCCATAAAGAGGGCTTCTCTATTAAAGTGGGAGGTTTTTTGTTTTTACTCAGAAGCTACGAATGATGAATTATTCCTTAAAGAAGAACTTTAAAGGTCTTTCAACAGCTCTTTCATTAGCGTGTCCTTGGATGCAAAATGGCATTTATGGAGTGTTCCGTAGAGAGCTGTGCACATGCTGGACAAAACACTGCCTGCTCCTTGTCTCAAGGCCACACTGGAAGTGTGTGCACGACTGAACAAGAAACAGACAGACAAAGAGACAGAAAGAGTGCTGTGGAATGGAGGAAATAAGAATAGAGGAAAGGGTAAAAACATTAGAGATGTATCGAGGAGAGAGGAATGGACGAGGAAAACCAAGAATCAGGATGACAGTGGCGTGAACCCACATACACCCCCCCAAAAAAAGTAGAGGTAATAATTAACTCTTCCTTATCTGTCATGCAGTTACACTACAGAGAATAAATTAATTAATACATTAACATTTAATATTATCATTTTTAAACAAGTCTCTACATTATCATAAGAAGACAAAGCAACTCTCTCTCTCTCTCTTTTCTCAAACGCACACGCACACACACACAACACAAGTGTTCCTAAACGCACAGACAGTGCTCCTCTTCAGTGTTTTCCTATCAAACAGCTCCTCCACAGTTTTGCCACATGCTCGCAGCTCAAAGAAGCCCATCTAGATTCAAAACATCCGCAGGGCTGCACGCAAAGTCTCTCTGAATTTGAATAAGTCACTGTTTACCCCCTAAACTTGAAACAACAATGCACGAGAGCAACAGCAAAGTGGGAGAACACAGTATAATGGATGTTCTCTGCTTTCAAGAAACCAAAGATTGCTACAGTACAAAACATAAAAGGATCA